GACTGCCACTTGTGACGTAGTCGTAACCATTTTATCTTAGTGCAGATGAAGGGTACACCAACGTTCTTCCCATGTACTTTTGCAGACTTAGCGCGCCCACCAGGCGCGGGCCCGCATTTGCCCATCATGCATCTGGAGCGTGCAAAAAAGACACCAGACTGAGTGCACTGTTTGAGCCCAACAAAAATTGGATTGGAGGTGAGGACGGATTGGCACGCAGGCGGGGGGGGGCAGGGTATGTACACGTTGAGGAGTGTGAGGTGGAAAGGGAAACGGATGCCTCCGCCCTGGATCGATCGGGCGGCGCCTTTCGTCGGCCTCATGACATCTCTTGTCGCGTTGTTCAACCATCCTGTGAAGTAGGATCCTTTGAAGGCCCCATCATCTCCTCCTGTCCTCTCCGCTTCCATTGTCTCATCTCGCTCGCGGTAGTCGCAGCTGCATGCGGTTGAGTCCTTCGCCAGGATAATGTCTGACATTCGGTCGCGGTTAAACAGAGGTCTTCTGATGATGTCCTCGGACGTCGTCGGGGGAGGGGGTTCGCGCGCAGGTCGCCACGTTTGTTTAGGTGCACCCCTCATGTATTTCAAGACTCTCTGAGAGCTCGACCTAGGTCCTAGGTAGCGCTGCAAAGCACCTCGACCAAACTCAAGGGGTCTGGCGGAGAAGCGAAGAACAAAACATGCGTGCGAGAGCATCACAAACCCGTCTGGCACTGACCTTGCGCTCCGCCGCCGGGCGTAGCGCCCAAGCTTCGTCGACGCAGGCGCCCCGGCCGTCTCGCCCTCATCCTCCTCCTCCTTCGTCCTCCTCAGCCTCGCTGTCCTCTTAGGTGTGCCCATCCTCCTCCCGTTCTCCTCCCCATCCTGCTCCTCTCCTTCTTCCTCCTTGTCCGCCTTCCCTCCGCCCTCCACGAGGCATTATTGTCGTCCGACGTTGCCAGGGTCCATGGGCTAAGGGCCTCAGGGTCCACTTGGAGCTTGCTCGTTCGGGCCTCTTTCCTATGATGTCTCATGATTGGTAGTCGCTTGGGTTTCTGAGTCCGTGCGTTTCTGAGCTCTCGGATATCTTCCAGGCAGTTGAAGTTCTGAGCGCTCGGATTTCTGAGCGTTCGGATTTCTGAGCGCTCGGATTTCTGAGCGCTCGGATTTCTGAGCGCTCGGATTTCTGAGCGCTCGGATTTCTGAGCGCTCGGATTTCTGAGCGCTCGGATTTCTGAGCGACCAGATGCTGCGTACCCAAAAAAATGCCACTGTGTTCTGGGCTGCCCCCCGCGACTCTGCGGCTGAGTGACATAAGGGGTGGTTCATTTGAACCACCCCTTAAGATAGATCTGAGCGCTCAGATCTATCTTAAGGGTGGGGCAATCAGCTAATCCTGTTGTCTTAAGGGGACAACAGGATTAGCTGATTGCCCCACCCTTAAGATAGATCTGAGCGCTCAGATCTATCTTAAGGGGTGGTTCAAATGAACCACCCCTTATGTCACTCAGCCGCAGAGTCGCGGGGGGCAGCCCAGAACGCAGTGGCATTTTGTTTGGGCGCAGCATCTGGTCATCCAGAAATCCGAGCGCTCAGAAATCCGAGCGCTCAGAAATCCGGGCGCTCAGAAATCCGAGCGCTCAGAAATCCGAGCGCTCAGAAATCCGAGCGCTCAGAAATCCGAGTGCTCAGAAATCCGAGCGCTCAGAAATCCGAGCGCTCAGAAATCCGAGCGCTCAGAAATCCGAGCGCTCAGAAATCCAAGCAATTAGGAAGATGAGCTATATATCAAACGTTGACTTCCAAAGCCCCCTAGACACCGCGTTATGCGAGGACCCTTTGCTCTTGCGTTCGCAGAAGAAGCGCACGACATGTCTAGGAGAGCTGGTCTAGCAAGAACGAAGCCACATCTCGCTTTCTCCAGCGACCTACAATCTTAAACTGCCCTCTGCTGTCCAGCGAAGGGCATCAGCTTGCACTCGCACCGCGCACCCCTATGTTATCTCTGCTTGTGTGCATGTGAATGTATGTGTGTATGTTCGTGTGGACGTGCACGCATACAATGGCGCAACCTCTTAGACAGTACGTCAACATGCGCTCGCGTCTGTGTGCCTCTGATATGCCGGCGAAGCGATTCGCTGAAGTATGCCACGCCCAGTTGTCAACGCACGCTCAAGTCCGACGATCAGGCCTCCATCCAAAAAAAAGAATGCCGCACGCATTGCTGTCAATGGAGCCTGTCATCACTTATATGCAACTGGTTGCTAGCTCATCCTGCAGAAGCGCAGAGGAGGAGGATGAGGATGGGGAGGAGGAGAGGGAATTCAATGAGGAGGGCAGGGGAACGACATAGACTGAGATTCTCGCACACTGCATGGCCAAAATCAACGACGCTGGGCGTGGCAAAAAAAAAATATTGGCATCAGTGATCTTTGACATGCTCTGCGTATGCTATGCTGGCTAAGTCGTGCTTATGTGTGTGTGTGTGTGTGTGTGTGTGTGTGTGTGTGTGTGTGTGTGTGTGTGTGTGTGTGTGTGTGTGTGTGTGTGTGTGTGTGTGTGTGTGTGTGATTTGATCACCGTGCCCTGAGACTCTGGACCGAAAGTTAGGCGCTCTCACCCACGGCGTCATCATCCCCTGCTCCCTCGCCTCCTCCGCTGCTTGGGTCCAGGGCCTTCAGCAGGTTCTCCAAAGCTGCGGCCCCCGACCCACCGCCCTCCTCCGTCTTGGCCTTCTTCTTCGGGGCGCCCCCGGCCTTGCTGGTGCCTCTCTTCTTGTTCTCTGGCTTCGAGTCCTGGCGCGGGCGCAGCGCAGGATGCATCAGGATGAGACTAGGCAATTGATGCGCACCGTCATCGTCAGAGGATTACATGCTAGATTCATTCCGCCTCCTCCTAACCATCATGTGGTGTTGGGTCCTCGTTTCGAATAAACACCGTCTCGCGTCTTATCCTCCTCTCCTCCTCTCCACTCATCTCCTCTCCTCTCCCTCCTCCCTATTTCCCTCCCTGCCTCTGGTCTCACCCCGCGACACTCGCAGCTGCATGGGGTAAGTATTCGTTTTGAGGCTTTCTCCGAGCTGCCGCTGCAGCCCCTGATCCCAACGCTCAGAGTGGCCAGCTCATCAAACAATTGTGATCCGTTGTCTACAATTCCTCTCTTCCTTCTCCCCCTCCTCCTCCATCTTGCTTTCCCCGGGGCCCAGCCTACTCAGAGAATGGGGAATGCAAAGAGGACGACGGTGGTACCCAGCCCAGGACTCACACAGATGGCGGTAGCAACGACAACAATTACTCCAACGGATGGACCCCAAATGAAAACCTATTTTTGTATGGAGTATGCACACTATCAGAATGATGCTGCTCCTGCTGACGCTGCTGCTGCTCCTCCTCCACCTTCTCCTCTTCCGCCTCCTCCCCCTCGACCGGCTTTCATTTTAACCACCTCCTCCCGACGTCGCCGTGGTGGAAACCTTCCTCCCCCCTCGCTCCTCCTGAGCCTCCTCCTCCTGCTCATCATCCTCCTTCATCATCATCATTATCATCATCATCATCCTCCTCCTCCTTTTCCTCCTCCTCCTCCTCTTCCTCCTCCTCCTCGTCCGTCTCCTCGTCGTCCTCCTTCTCCTCATCATCCTCGCGTCTCCTCCTCCTCCTCCTCCTCCGCCTTGAGCAGCGTCCATTTCAACCGCGTCCTCCTGACGGCACCGTGGTTGAAATCCCCGCCTCCTCCCTCTTTCTCCTCCTCCTCCTCCTCAACCTCCTTCTCCTAAACCTCCTCCTCCTCTTCCCCCTGCTACCCCCATGAGGACCATTCGGCGCGCGCGGGCTCGTACGGAATACCCCTCGTCATCCTCCTGCTGCTCCTCCTCCTCCTCATCACCCTCACGTCTCCTCCTCCTCCTCCGCCTCCTCCTCCTCCTCCTTGAGCAGCGTCCATTCCAACCGCGTCCTCCTGACGGCACCGTGGTTGAAATCCCCGCCTCCTCCTCCTCTTTCTCTCCTCCTCCTCCTTCTCCTCATCCTCCTCCGCCTCCTCCTCCTCGACCGGCTTTCGTTTCAGCCACCTCCTCACGATGCCGCCGTGGTTGAAACCTTCCTCCCCGCTCGTTCTTCTTCCTCCTCCTCCTCCTCCGCCTCCTCCTGTTCCTCCTCCTCCTCCTCCTTCTCCTCCTGGCCCCCCCCCCCTCCTCCTCCTCCTCCTCCTCCTCCTCCTCCTCCTCCTCCTCATCCGCACGTCTCCTCCTCCTCCTCCCCCTCCTCCTCCTCCTCCTCCTCCTCCTCCGCCTTGACAGCGTCCATTTCAACCGCGTCCTCCTGACGGCACCGTGGTTGAAATCCCCGCCTCCTCCTCATCTTTCTCTCCTCCTCCTCCTCCTCCTCCTCCTCCTCCTCCTCCTCGTCCTTCTCCTAAACCTCCTCCTCATCCTCCTCTTCCGCCCCTAAGGGTCATTCCGTGCGAGCAGGCTCGCTGATGCCGATCGCCGTTGGAATTCCAACTCTTAGGTGGGGCCCCTAGGGGCCACAGGGGAGGCCCCTTCCGCGCGAGCGGGCTCGCATGAAATGCCCCTGAGGGCCATTCCTTTCGAGCGGGCTCGCTGTCTCGATAGCCGTTCGAATTCCAACTTTTAGGTGGGGCCCCCTAGGGGCCACAGGGGAGGTCCCTTCCGCGCGAGCGGGCTCGCATGGAATGCCCCTGAGGGTCATTCCGCGCGAGCGGGCTCGCTGATCCCGATAGCCGTTGGAATTCCAACTTTTAGGTGGCCCCCCTGGCCGGGGAGGCCCCTTCCGTGCGAGCGGGCTCGCATGGAATGCCCGAGGATGATGATCATGATGTGTGTGTGTATGTGCGCGTGGGTGGCCCGCGGCCATCCAGAGAAAACAAGAAGCCCACTTATGATGTGGGGAACAAAGAACGACTACGATGATGATGATGCTGATGCTGATGATGATGATTATGATGACGATAATGATGATGTTTTTCCTGCACGCCCCTTGACTCGATTGTGGTATCTCGCTCTAAGAGATGGCCCTGAGAGTGCGAGTAGCTGACCCCTGGTTCTCCCACCGCTGATTGAGCGCGGTGGCTGAGCAGATCCCTGCCGTCGGGAGCGAACGAATGAGAATCCTCTCGAGGATGTTGACTGGCAGGGAGTTACCGCACATGCCCTTGAGCTGGTTCACCGTGACCGCGCCAGGGGCCCTGAAGTCGTTAGGTTCATGCCGAACAAGCTGCAACACTCCTTCAAGCTCAGTCGCCGGCCGCGAGAAAAAACCCCAATGCCCGCCACAGTATCCACGGCGTTTCGTCAAGCACGGGCTCATGTCTCGCATCATGTGTGGAACAGTACTGTCGATATCGGCAACGAAAGTCGTGCCGAGAAGTGGATTAACCTTGAACTTCTCAATGATGTGCCTGAACACCTGGGTGAAGTTGCCTCGCGCGGTCCTTGCAGAGACTGGTGGCTGCTGATGAACACCTGGGGGCTCAACAACTGGCTCTAGCAAGACGTCGATTGAGGGTGCACTGAACCCAGTTGGCCATTCGAACGTCCTACCATTCATCAGGTTCTTCTTGATGCCGATGATCAGCAAGCGCGTGCGACTCTGTGGGATGCCATGCTCAGATGTCTGCAGCAACTTCGCATCCACAAAGTAAGCGCCCGATGCGGCCCCCTTGAGCTTCTTGAGGATCCACGTCAATGTCTCAGCATGGGACGTAACTAACCCCTCGACGTTTTCTAAAATGAATGTGCGTGGCATTCCAGACTGGATGTATGAAATTATATGGGCGATACATGCTGCTCGAGGGTCGTCTGCTCCACCATGGAGGCCGCTAGCTGAAAACGGCTGGCATGGGAAGCCAGCCGCATAGACGTCGATCTCGCCCTGAGCCACCAGCCAAGCTTTATCCCGCTTCGTCAAGTCGGGGAAGAAACGGCACTGTCCATCCGCGAAGTTAGCGAACCAGAAGGCCTGTACAATAGGGTCGATGTCGCTGACCGCCAAGCATCTGTGATTGCATCCAAGACCACGTAAAGCATGAGCCACGCTGTTCATTCCAACGCAGTCGTCCACAGTGACGATCGTGGGCCCAGTGTCTAGGAATGGAGGCGAGGCCGTTCGGGGCGGAGGAGTGCGGCTGCGCAGTCGCGTAGCTGCAGCTGGCTTCTTGATGACACGTTTTGGTGCTGGCTCACTTGGTTTCTCGGCCTGCACGCCGAACTTGTATTCATCATCAGTCCATTGGCGATGCTTGAAGCTCATCGTCTCAGAGGGCTGTGAATTAAAGTGGCGCGGGCCAGCTTGCGAGCCAAATCGGCATGTGGATGCGGTGTTGCCAACGTCGTTATCGACATCGTCGCCGCTGTCATCGTGGACGTCGTCGTAGTCGCCGTTGTGGTGGCATCGTTGTCGTTATTTTTGCCGGTGCCGATCGTCGATGTCATCGTCGTCGTTGATCGTCGTGCCACGGCGATCGCGGACCACTGGTCCGCGATCGCCGTCGCCAACCGCTGTCGTCGTGGCGGCCCGGCCGGGGGGGTCGGCTGTCCTCGCCGCCGGTACCACCACCGTCTCCAGCGCCATCGTCGCCAGCCCCCTCCTTGGGCGCGGGCTGAGCAGTAGGGCAGGAAGAGGAGCATGATGAGCAGGATGAGCGAGAATAGGACGAAGCGGTGGATGAGGCGAGGAGGGGATGGGGGAGGAGGAGATGAGGATGAGAAGGAGGAGATGAGGATGAGAAGGAGGAGATGAGGATGAGAAGGAGGAGGAGGGCAAGGGACATATTTTGTGACACTGGAGTCTGGTCCCATGGGAGATCTGAAGCCCAGGACAAGGAGAGAGGGGGGGAGTAGAAGGAGGAGAAGGAGGAAGGAGGAGGAGAAGGAGGAGGAGGAGGAGGAGGAGGGGGAGGAGGGGGAGGATTTATAGAGCAGCGGCAATCCTCGGCGTTCTTGTTGACAAGATCCGCCACGGCCATGGGTTCGTAGAGTTCCTCTACCTTCTCATCCGTGAGGCTCCTGAAGACGCGGGCGACCAACCGGCTGTACATGGCGTGCATGTGGAACTCTGTAAAGCACACGCACGTGATGGGAAGTTTCATCATAATCGCCGCCATGGCGGCGTTCTCGCTCAAGGGCGTGAACTGAACGATGCTTGACGCCGCGAACGAGTGGACCAGCTCTTTGTAGAACATCGTCGAGTTACTGTGCAGGGACACCCTCTCGATATCAGTGGGGAGCCGCTTAGGCCCCGGCATCTTGGCAGCGCCGGCCACGCGACCGCCAGACTCGATGAGGCAGTCTCCCAAGATCTTTGTTTTGTCGAAGATTGATGCAGCCCATTCGTCCTTGTCGGACGGATCCACTGTTACAAGGGGGCCAATGTGATTGTTCTGGTTCGAACTGTTCGAATCGAGCAGCCGCTGCTTCGGAGGCAGAGATAGCGGGTCCTTCGTGACGAATGTCATGTGCTCCACGCAGGGGAAGCTCGCCTCGGCGCAGTCCCGGACGCGCCGTTTCTTCAGCGACGATTCCTCGGGAAACAAAAAAATGGAGGAGGGAAGGGGGAGCTGCGGAGGAGGAAGAGGAGAAGGAAAGGGAGGTAGGAGGAGGAAAAGGATGAGAAAGAGGATAAGAAAGATGCGAATGAGGAGGCGGAGGAGGAGGAGGAGGAGGAGGAGCAGATTGCTCCTCTTCCCCCTCCTCCTCCTTCCTCATCCTCCTCGTCGCCCTCCTCCTCGTCCCCCTCCTGCTCATCGTCCTCGTCGTCGTCGCCCTCCTCCTCCTCCTCCTCCTCCTCCTCTTCCTCCTGCCCCTCCTCCTCCTCCCTCTTACTGAGTGGTGATGGGTGTGATGTTTAGTGTTGCCCGTCCTCATATGAGATGTAGTAGTCCTTCGTATTCACAGCAATCTTCCGATCCATCGCCACGAAGCCCTTCAGATAAACCTCGAGGTTCGCGGGCTTGAAGGCGTCGAGGAAGACGAAGCACGCCTTGGGGTGAAGAGTCATCTGGTCAGGATCCACATTGTCGGGGTCGTCAGAGCAGAACACCTTGATGGCGGCCTGAGTGCAACGACCCATGTAGGCAGACCTGTTGACTGGCATCCGGATCGTGGGCTGGGTCTTGTTCTGACCTTCCTCCTTGCAGTTGTACAACGCCAAGACGTTCTCGCACGATGTGCACTGCGCCTTCTTGACCGCTGCGGTGTCCTTGATCGCTGCAATGACAGCGCCCTCATTCGGCCCAGGAGCAACCAGAGTCACGCGCGACCTCACCAAGGAAGACGCGTGGTTGAACCACCGCTGCCTGGCGTCGTCGTCGTCCTCCTTGACGTTCAGCTCGTTCTCCTCCTCCTGCTTGTTGGTGTCGTCCTCCTTCTGTTCGCCGTCCTCTTTGGTGCTCTCCTTGGCTGTCTTCTTTTTTTCCTCCGCTGCCTGCTTCTCCTCCTCGATGGCGGAATGGACCTTCTGCAAGTCCTGGCCCATCGAACCGTACCGCAGTGCATCTGCGGGGCTCTTTCCAAGCTTCAGCGCTTGCAGGATGGTGTTGTTGTAGCCCTTCCCATAGATCAAGGTAGAAGCGAACGAATCGAATAAACGTTCAGGTCTGCCAAACTCTTGTTTCCAGTCGGTCTGGGCGACAGGCTCGACGAAGCGGGCGAACTGGTTGTCGGGGAAGCCCTCTTTGGCCCTGTAGGCGCTCGGACTCTGAAGGTAGTTCCGGATCGTCGTCTTGACCCTCTGAGGTATGGCCAACGTGTTCAGCTCGTCGTTCAGGATGGCGTCCTTCAGCTCCTTCTTGAAAGCTAACACGTCGCAGTCCGAGAACCTCTTACCCTGCAAGGCGCTGGCGCTCATGTTGGCCTTCACGATGTTCTTAGCTCGAAACTGGTCGTAGATCATCTCGAACATCCAAGCTACGCCGGACCCCTGTTTCCCCGCTTTGGAGCATATCAAATAGATGCTGAGAACGCTCGGGAAAGGTGACTCCAATCCGTAGGCTTCCTCGCTGCGCTTGACGATCTGCTGACAATCCACGCCAGCTTCGCTCAGTGCCAATGCCCATTTGTTGCTGATGGCTGAGGTGTTTTCCAATGTATTTTTACTGATCTTCTCGCTGGTGGTACTCCACGTAATCCCTTCGTAAAAGCTATACAGCTGGTCTGTTGTCACCTTCCCCGATTTGGTCTCCCCCAGCCTCTTCCGCTGCTCGATGATCATGCACAACAAGCTCAAAGGTGAACGCTGAACCGCTGCGTAGCGCTGGCTCCACTCCTCTCGCAAGATGACGCTATTCTTGATCACGGCGCTCTCAGACGTGAGCGTATGGAAGATGAAGTCGGTATTCCTGATTGCTGTGACCCATCGAGTGGCCTCCTCTACGCTCCGCCTGTTCTGTGGGATCTGGAAGAACTTATCTAATCCCCAGAGGAAGGCATGCACTGGTTCTTCTGGACTCACGCGCTTGATGGTGCCACGTTTGGTGGTGAGCATGGTCTCTACTTCAGCCGGTCCCTCGAGGTACACGTGGATCTGCAACCGCGTTGTCCCAGAGGGAGGCGAGCTGAAGCTGTGGTTGGCCAAATCGTCGATTCCTTTCGTATTATATGGTAGCTTCTGGGGCCTCCACCTGACGTCGTGGACGAAGATGTTCATCGCACCCTGGTACTGGTCCGTGTTGTCGTGCTGCATCGCGTACTTGAGGTCCTCCAGAACGAGCTCGTTGCCATGACCTCCTTGGCTCACTGATTGTGCGCCGAGCAGCTCCACGTTTTCAAGTTCTTGCACTGTCTTCAGTCGAGCCATCATCGCTTCAAATTTTGACACGTACTCTCCGTTGAGCGCCATGTCCTCTGAGCAGGGGGTGAGGTTGACCATCTGCGACGCATGGCCAGGCTCTGCAGCAGCAGGTTGCTGCTGACCTGCCCTTGGACGCTCGGGGGCCATCGCTGCCAGAATCAGCTGGTCGAAGCCCAAATGGCTCTGGTGAGGATGAAGATGATGGCGATGCGAACCTTAATCGCGATTCCGATCTCCCCAAACGGTGCTTGCACTCTCCGACGCCATCCATAGGGCCAAGCGAAGCGAGATTATCAACGCACCCCCGGACTGTTGAGGGGTCCGCGTCTCCTAGCTGCGGCCTCTTGCCGTCTCCTCTCTTTGTCCGCCTTGCGCATGGAACGAACCCCTCCTCCCCCTCTTTTTCCCCCTCCTCACTTCCGCAGTCGTTCCCCAGAAAACTTCGTCAGAAAGAGGGGGCAGAGGCGGGGGATGATAGGAGGAGGTTGGTTCTTTGTGCTATGCAAACAAACCTCGCTGAACGAGAAGCCCCTTCATGAGATAAGGAACCCTTCCGACACGCGACGCGTGTTTAGACGAAGCACGATGTTATTCTGTTTTCAAGCGCCAAGACGACCCCAAATCGAATCAACGAGAAGAGTAGGATTGCAACACTCACCCCTATTGGCGGCCTATTCTGTTCAGTTTGGTGAATAGCCGGCGGCAAACGCAAGCGCAATCGGCTCTGGCTTTGGGACTCCATCCCAATCCCTAGGATCGTGGACAATGCGGCCATCTTGCGTGTCAAACGCGTCACAGCCATTTTTAGGCCGCGCCTTGTATGGGAACTGACCCCTCATCAGGTTGCGACGTACTTTGCGAGTGTACTTTGTCGAAATATATCCGGCGCACTCTCTGAACATTTCGAACCTCCTGACATCCCGAATCCACTTGTAGCAGTTGGTGCAGAACATCACAGTCCTGAACTGCGCCATCTTGTGACTCAGATGGACGTCGCGAAGCTGAGGATGCGTCACCCTACGCGTCCACAGTGTCGACCAATTCACCTCCCCCTGAATCAGCACTTGCCCATCACTCTCAAGAGGCATGTTCACCAAGCTCACGATGGATCCTACTTTGCTCATGCGGTACGGCTGGGGGCTCCTCGAACGACCGCGGCTCGGAATGCCGCCGGCAGCAGCAGCTGGGGGCGGGCCAACGCCGACCATCACGACAACAGCACTGGGAGTGTCCAGCAACACAGGGGCCGTTGTTCGATAAGCATGTTGTTGGGCCAAAACGGCCGCGCGGCAGAAGAGGTGTAGATCCACAGCGGAAAAGAGCGGCAAGTGGGCCGTGCCCCAGGGCAGAACTTCCGACCGTTCAGCCCCTCACTGTAGCAATTGTATGCTATGCGACACCATCCTAACCCCAAGGTGGGGGGACCTCAAGGTGGGCCCCAAAGAGGCGCCTTGCAGGGCGGGGCCCAAGGATTGGAACCAGTGGCCCAGGAATGGAGGCTCAAGCGAGTTCCAAGCAGGGCTCAAGGACAAGGAGGAGGAGACTGAGGAGGAGGAGGAGGAGGAGGAGGAGGAAGAGGAGGATAGAGAACGGATGAGAAGATGATGATGATGAGGAGGAGGAGGAGGAGGAGCAGGAGGAGGAGGAGGAGTGAAAGTTTGCATATGAACCAGCAAGCTGACGATCAGAACCGAACGTGGGCGGGTGGGAAAAATACCTTTCTCAAAAAAAATGCCACTGTGTTCTGCCAAGAATAGAAGGGTCACCCTTGCCGACGCTGGGGCGGTCTCTGTCAGGAGCAGAGAAACATCAGGCGGCAGAAGCATACATTCTCTGAAGTCCGCGCGGGTTTCTTGGATCGGCCCTGAACCCCTCTCCCCGTTGGCGCGCGGAGCGCGCCGGGGGCGCGGCCTCGGAGGCACCCCTGGGGGGGTTCTCAGCACCGATCCGAGGAGTCCGCGCGGACCTCCGAAAATCCGCCGACCCTGCCGGCGTCTGTGAGGGGCTTGTCCGTTCAAGTCGTCATCTCCGTCATTCGTTGGGCGTCGTCTCTGCCGCCCCCTTTCCCTGCTTCCCCCCTGGCTCGTCGAAGCTCCTCCCTTTCCCGGGGACCTCCTCAGCGCGCCAGCCAAAGCGAAAATAAGCAACGTCGTAAGTGAGTCGAAGGGAAACCCCTTCCCTTCGATCCCTCCCCCGCTGGGGTGGGTGGGGGTGGGGGGGGGTCCCGAGGGGGGGAAGGGGGGTCAGACGCCCCGGGGGGGGGGGTCAGAGGCGACGCCCACCCTGGGAGTCCAGGGAACCCCAAAAAGCCCCAAGACGGGCCGAGTGTCCCAAGAGGCCCAAAGACAGTCCAAGAGAACTCCGAATCGCCGAACGATCTGTCCAAGACGCCTTGACGGCCTCCAGACAGCCCAAGAGGCCTGCAAAGCGCCCCTAAGAGGCCTCCAGGGGCTTTCCCACGAGAGCCCCAAGAGGCAACATTCATGGACTTCCCATACGTTTTTGACAGTTTGTGGCGTTCTTGCCCCTTCTGCTTCCCGACGCGCCAAGACGGCCCAAGACTGGAGGCCCCCAAGATCGCCCCACGAGGCCCCCACGAGGCTCCCCGAACGGCCGAAGAGGGCCCCAAGACGGCCCAAGACGCCTCCAAGACGGCCCAAGAGGCCCCCAAGACGGCTCCAGGAGAGTGCCCAGACGGGGGGCCCGAACGAACATTTCGAGCTCTCAGCCCCAAGAGGCCCCCAAGAGGCCCCCAAGAGGCCCCAAAGAAGCCCCAATCGGCCCCAAGAGGCACCAAAGGGGCACCCAAACTGCCCCAAGACAGCCCAGGAGAGCCCCAAATTGCCTAGGAGGCCTCCAAGAGTGCCTCGAGACAGCGCAAGAGCAGCCCTGGACGGTTCAGACGGCCTCAGGAGAGCCACGGGCTGTCCCAAGAAAGCCTCTGGCCTCCTTCTCTTCTTCTTCCTCCTCCTCCTCCCCCCACCCTCTGCTTCCCCTCCTCCTGCTCTCCTCTGCCTCCTTCTCCTCCTCTTCCTTCTCATCCACATCCGTCTCCCCCCTCCTCCTCTCTCACCCACCTCCTCCAACCTGCCCCCTCTCGTTTTCATCTTCGTCGCTCTCAGGGTCGGCGGCAACGGCCGTAAGGCCTACGCAATCCTTATGTATGCCATATTTGTTCTGCGAAAGAGCACGAGGCCCTTCGTCGACGGCCCAAGGCTTCAGGGAGATACCCCACAACGAAGGGCACTCCACGGTGGAGAGCCCACAGAACGGCAAGGTCTACCTCCCAAACGATGGTTGGTCTGAGCCATACTGTGTCAGCCGTACGGCAGGTCCGTGTCGTGACAACCCTGGCGCTGATCTCTGGCACTGCGTCGATCGCTCAACCTTCAACGATCACCGGCTTCTCGATCGCCAGATCGCTCTCTTTCTCTCTCTATATATATATGTATATATATATATATATAGATATATAGATATATAGATATATGGATTGGCCGATTCAAAGCCTTGGCGGGATTCAGCCTTGACCGCCCGAGCTGGGGTGCGCAGCAGCGTTGACACGACGACACGAACCTGCGGTACACAGGAAGGCTCTCCGCTGGCCCGCTGGACTCTTCTCGGAAAGCTACGTCGATGCTCCATTGGCCATCGCTCGGACGTCCATTTCCCGTGCATTTGTCGGTTTCGTGCGTGTTTTTTTTTTTTTGCTCGATGGTCCAAGATGGTCCTCGATGGTTCTCGCCGAGAACAAAAAAACGCACACGTCCGAGCGATGCCAAGTCAGGGTCACGAAATGTCGCGCATCGCTGGGCGCGATGCGCGACTCTCTCTCTGCGCCAGCGCGCCCCCGCGGCCCCCTCTGGAGAGAATGGCGCTGGCCAGGACCGCGACGCGTGCAGCGCGACTGCCCTCGCTCTCCGCGGGTGGATCCGCGCGGGCCCCCGGCAGTCTAGGTCTGCGGCCATCGTACTGCCATGGGGAGCGCCGCGCGAGGAGAGCGGTCCCAGCTGGGCCCCACAATCGCATGGGCTCACGAGGGACGCCAGAGCAGCAGCCATGCCAGGGCCTGAGGAGCAGCGAGCCCCTTCAGAGCCCGAGCTGCTCCTCCTTTCAGCGTCTTGACTGCATGCAGACTCTTCGTCTTGACTGCGTGCAGACTCTTCGTCATGCTTACAGGAACAGCGAGCCTTTCTCGGCGGTGGACAAACCTCCCTTCAGTAAACCTCCCCTTAGTGAAAACGGCCTGGGACCGAAACAGACGGATCTGGACCCGCAAAAATGACGGCCGCGACGCCCTCTCGCGAACCGAAAACGGCCAATTCCTTAATCGACGTGTCAGGGTAGAAGGTCTGTCCACCCCCGACTTTCGGCGTCTTGACTGCATGCAGACTCTTCGTCTTCGCACACAGGGACAGCGAGCCTTTCGGCGTCTGGACCGCATGCAGACTCTTCGTCTTCGGCGAGGTTTTCAGCGTCTGGACTGCATGCAGACTCTTCGTGTTCGCACACAGGGACAGCGAGCCTTTCGGCGTCTGGACTGCATGCAGACTCTTCGTCTTCGCATCGTGCTGAGGGTCCCCTCATTCAGAGGCACGCCGTGGCCCACCGCGCAGACCACGGCGAAGCGGGCGTACGCCTCCGAGCACGCGAGCGGCACCGCCGTCGCAGAGGCCGGCGGGAGGCCCTCGGCGCGCAGGCCTATTGAAGGAGCCCCAGGGCACACAAATAGATACACGCAAATAAAGAGATTCCCCATATTTTCCAATATTTTCGGGGCTTCTGTCTTTCCCCCCACTTCTCATGTTTTCCCATCTTTTCCCGGGGGATCGACGATTCATTGTGCCTGTGTGTGTTTTCTCCCCTCCTGACCTATGTGCACCTCGCCGCCGCGGGAGGCCAGGACGGCGGCGAGGCGGAGGGCGGGCTCCGGCGGCCCGGGAGACTCGACGCACACCTCGTGGGCCCACTCGCCCTCGGGCAGCCGCTCCCGGACCCCGCGCAGCATCGCCGAGCGAGAGGCGCTGCGGATGTGCTCCGACGCGGCCGCCAGGTCGCAGCCCCCGAGCTCCGCCAGCGCCTCCTTGACGCGGCGCACGCCCAGGTCGTTGCAGGACAGCAGCGCGAGAGCGTCCCCGGCAGCCGCGTCGGGGTGCAGCGAGCGCGCGCGAAGCGTCGCGACCGCGTCGTGGCACACCGCGCCGCGCCGGGCCAGATGAGTCACTGGGCGCCCTTCTCGCCGATGATCTGCCGCGGACTCCGGGATGTGAGCCACGCTGCAGACGAAGGCAGCGAGTGCGCCGCCTTCGAAGACAGGGGTCACCACGGTCAAATCGCAGGGGTGCCCGGTGCCAATCCACACGTCGTCTGTCATGAGGGCGTCCCCGTCGGCCATCTCGGCGTGCGGCTGCGCCGACAGAATGCGCTCCACGACCCCCGCGAGCCCCAACGCCAGGCCGGGGGAGCCAGTGCGGCTGACGGACATGGAAGAAAGAAACACGGCATCACCCCACGCCTTCGCGATGGGCCGCGCGGGGCTCCTTCGATCGGCGCTGGACTCCCCTTTCTGGCGCGCGGAGTGCGACAAGGGCGGCGCCAAAGGCGCCACCAGGGGGCGCCCCAGCGCCGATCCGAGAAAGCCGCGCGGCCCACCCCCCAAAGTTCATGGTCGTGCTGACTACCTACTAGACCACCCCAACCCAACCCGAAGAACCGAATTCGACCCGAACTCCGGGGTGGGGGGGGGGTGTACGGGCATCCATGTGCTTTTGCAAATCTCCCCCGACCCCCCCCCAGACACCTGGAGATGGAGGGCAAGCTGAAGCCTCCGGGTTGGGTCGGGGTGGTCTGGTGCGTGGCGACGTGCTGTGTTTGGCTCTTCGGGGACAGCAAGCGGCCCGAGGCTCGGGCCGGGCGAAAGGGGGGATAGCAAAGGGGGGGGTTGAGAATCGGCTCACGTGGCCGATTTCCCCCGCGCCTCCCGGCGCCGGAGGCGGTCATGTACATCGAGGAATGGGCCCCTCGGTGGGGCCGAAGCCAGCTGCATGCAGCAGGTTTCGTCACCCCCCCTCGGCGGTGGACAGACCTCCCTTTAGTAGACCACCCTTCAGTGAAAACGGCCCAGGACCGAAACCGACGGACCCGGACCCGCAACACACGAAAGGGCCGCGACGCCCTCCCGCGCACCGAAAACGGCCGGTTCGCTAGTCGACGTGTCAGGGTGGGGGGTCTGTCCACCCCCGACCCCCTTTCCCAATCCCGCCCGCTCTCGCCCGGCCCGAGAGGCGTCGAAGACGCCGCAGGCGGCGGCCCCCGCCTCCCGCACCAGGGGCGAGAAGGCGGCCCGCAGCAGCTGCTGCGCCTGCTCCTGGGGGCGGCGGGCCCGGCGCGTGGCCACCGCCCCCCCTCGCCGAGGCTCGAGGTCGGGCCCGTCCCCCCTGCAGAGGGGATTTCGGGCGAGAAATAGAAGATACTCTGAAAAAACGAATCGAGCATGGTCAAACATGGCCAAGCATCGTCCAGCAAGAAGCAGGCATGGTCAAAAAGAATCAGGCATGGTCGCCCTACAGGGGGATGCTGGGCGAACAGATCCAAGCACCCAAGCAGTGCTCCAGAAATGCTCAAACATAGTCCACAACCCTCCCCGCACTATTTCTTCAGAACCATCTTTGCCGACCCACCCTGCAGAGGGACAGGCCCGCCCTGCTGCACAGGCCGACCCTGGGCCCCGCCGCGGCGCACGGGCGCCCCCCCCCCCTGGCTTGGCCAGAGCGGGGCCGTGCACACCGCTCCTGGGCCCAGGGCGGGCCTGGCCCTGGCGCCGTGGCCGCGCGCGGCGCCGCGGCACCCGACGGCGCGCTCTCCTCCACGCGCGGCCCCAGCGGTCCCGACGACCTCCCCCCTCCATGGGGCAGCTCCGCGCCCCGGGGCACTCTATCCGATAGCCCCGGGGGCCCGAAGAGCGGCATCCGACGGCGCGCTCTCTTCCGTGCGCGGCCCCAGCGGCCCCGACGTCCTCCCCCCCGGGGGCAGCCCTTCGCCCCAGAGCAGTAGATCTGGGCCCGAGAGGGAGCCCCAGACGCCGACGTCGGGCAAAAACGCCGGGGCCGAAGCATGACATCGTCCGAGAGACCTGGGTGCAGGTCGCGTCGACCGATCCTCGGCACCGGAGAGAAGCCGCGCCCAAAGGAGCTGCAGCCCGACCACGCAGGCTCCGCCGGCCAGCGGCGCGCGCGGCAGCGCCCGAGCGCCCCCGTCCGCGGGCTCCGAGGCCTCCAGCTGCAGGAACCCACTGTCCTTGGAAAGTCCAGGGTCCGGGGGCTGGGTCCCCCGCGAAAGCGGCAGAAACCTGTCCGAAACCCTTCGAAGGTCCTGCCCGCAGAGTTCTGGGAGGGCTTCAACACGGTTTTGGCCATTTGGGGAGGAAGGATTAACAAATCCCTCTCGACCCCTGGGCTTCCTTACACTGCCCACAAGGGAAGGACACCCGCACAAACAGAAACACTTCCGGACGCCCGCGCGGACTTCCCGGATCGGATCTGGACGCTGCCCCTCCCCCTCCTTGGCGTGCGGAGCGCGCCAGGAGCGGCGCCGGAGGCGCCGCCTACAGGGGGCCCAGGGCCAATCCGAGAATCCCCGCGCGAGCCTCCAAAAATTTGGACGCCCGACATGGGTACCGAAAAAATGGGTACGATGCCCAACAAGAAATGTTGTCCCAAACCAACAGCGGCCGCTGTTGGGCAGGCGGCCTCCAGTCTCGAATGGACACAGGCCGCGGCCGCGTGGACAGCGAATCCTGTTCAGAATGAACAGGAACTGCTGTTGGGCATCGTACCCATTCTTTCAGTACCCATTTCGGGCGTCCAGATTTCTCTCGGGTCCAGCAGGGTGCACTCGAAGCCGGCCGGCACGACCGTAGACGTGTACCTCTCCGCGACCACCGCGGGCCCGGGGAGGCGGCCTCCCGGCTGCAGCTCCGAGCGGAGGTTCGGGTCGGGCGAAAGGGGGGGATAGCAAAGGGGGGGTTTGAGAATCAGCTCACGTAGCTGATTTTCCCGGCGCCTCCCGGCGCCGGGAGGCGCCCATGTATCGAGGAATTGGCCCCTCGGTGAGGCCGAAACCAGCTGCATGTAGCAGATTTCATAACCCCCCCTTTCCCAATCCCCCCCTTTCGCCCGGCCCGAGAGGTACACGGGCGCCGCCTCGAGCCGGCAAGTGGCGGGGTCCAACAAGCGCCTGTCGGGTGTGCCGGAGATGGGGGGCTGACTGAAGGGGCCGTAGGACACACGAATAAATACACACAAATAAAAGGATTCCCCATATCTTCCCATATTTTCTGGGTTTCTGTCTTTCCCCCCACTTCTCATATTTTCCCACATTTTCTGGGGAGTCGACGATTAATTGTGTCTGTGTGTATTTGTTCCCTCCTGACTGACGCAGCATGGCCCGAGGCACGTGCGGGTGCGCGAGGGGCGCCAAGGAGCGCATCGAAAGGGCACTGAAATCTGAGAGAGCTTACAACTAGCCCTAGCCATGATGTCCACGCGCCTCGTGCCCTCACCCCTAGGCGGCGAGCCAGGGGGGGAAATGAGAAGAGGCGTGCCTTCTCAGAAGGCTCGGAAGTCCCCCGGACTCCTGACAAGTTTCCTAAGCCTTCCCCGAAGACAGAAACAACTGCTCAGAAGGCGCGAGGGCTTCTGAGAAGCCCCGCCGCCTTCTGAGAAGGCCTTCTCCTTCTCACTTCCTCCCCTCGCTCGCCGCCGAGTTTTTGCTGGAGGCGCTACTAGTGGGTCCTCAGGAGTTGCGATCTTCGGAAGCTCCAGAGGAGAGGGGGCCAGGGGCGTGCTGATGTCATGGCCAGGCCCCTCTTCTGGATTTGGCGGCCCCCCTCTTCGCTCGCCGCCGAACCCCCCCCTCTTCGACGCCGGCGGCCTTCAGGGCCACAGCTCGGGCCCTCCGGGCGGCCGTCCCGGGACGGTCCGTGCGCCCCCGGAGGGAAGGAGCGCTCTCGCCGAGGCGCGGCTGCCGGAGAGCAGCTCGGGGCCAAAGAGCCAGCGAAGCAAGCAAGCAAGCCAGCCAGCCAGCAAGCAAGCAAGCAAGTCAGCGAAGCAAGCAAGCCAGCAAGCCAGCAAGCCAGCAAGCAAGCAAGCCAGCCAGCAAGCAAGCAAGCAGGCAAGCAGGCAAGCAAGCAAGCAAACAAGAAGGCCATGCATCCTGAAGAACGCGTGGGCTGGCAGGGACACTCGTGGTTCCTGCCGTGATTCGCTGCAGAAAGCGAAAAGGCGGCAGAAGCGTCCTCGCTCCCCTCTTGGAGGCGCCCGAGCCTGCTGCCAGCCGGCCTCGGGCGCTTGGCGGGCGGCGCCTCCGCGTTGTCGGCCCTGGCCGGGGTCCGCCGGCATCGAGTGGGCAGATCTGCGCATCTTCACCGAGCCCACGTCGCATCGGGTCGGCCGCGCCGGGATGCACGACGGCGCGCCGTGCCCAGCGTCGGGCCGCATCGCATCGCCGAAGCACACCGCAGCCCACTCGGCCTCGGCCGGCCAGAACATCCACATCGAGTCGAGCGGATCGCATCGACCCTCCGAGCCCCGCCTGGCCCGCCGCGCCGCGCGGAGCCGCTCCCGCGGCCAGCTCAGCGGGTCCGAGTCGGCGACGAGCTCCAGGGCCCAGGCGCGGACCTCCACCCCCGCGCCGGGCACGGCGCGCGAGAAGTGCCGGCGGTACTCCTCCTCGAAGCCGGACCTGCGGCGCGGCGCGGGTGCGGAGTGCGGCCCGCGGCCACCGCCCCGCGGGGGCGGTGCTCCTAAGAGAGGGGGAGAGCGGGCGCATGGGCGCACGGCCCCCGCGGACGGAGCAGCAGCACGCGCGCAGCAAAGCTGCACGGAGGAGGCAGTGGGGAACGGCGGCGCGAATGCGTGATGGGTGCGGGTGCGAGTCGTGCCCCACTCCGACAACACGCACACACACACACGCACACACACACACACACGCACACACGCACACACGCACACACGCACACACGCACACACGCACACACGCACACACGCACACACGCACACACGCACACACGCACGCACGCACACACGCACGCACGCACGCACGCACGCACGCACGCACGCACGCACGCACACGCACGCACACGCACGCACGCACGCACACGCACGACGCACACGCACGCACACGCACGCACACGCACGCACACGCACGCACGACCACGCACACGCACGCACACGCACGCACACGCACGCACACACACGCACGCGCACGCACACGCACGCACACGCACGCACACGCACGCACACGCACGCACACGCAAGCACACGCACGCACACGCACGCACACCCACGCACACGCACGCACACGCACGCACACGCACGCACACGCACGCACACGCACGCACACGCACGCACACGCACGCACACGCACGCACCCGCACGCACCCGCACGCACCCGCACGCACCCGCACGCACCCGCACGCACCCGCACGCACCCGCACGCACCCGCACGCACACGCGCACACACGCACACACACGCACACGCACCCACACGCACACACCCACACGCACCCACACGCACACACGCGCACACACACGCACACACACACACACACACGCACACACGCACACGCACACACACACACGCCCACACACGCCCACTCAAACGCACACGCACGCACACGCAACCCAAACGCGCCCACACGCGCCCAACACGCGCACACGCGCCACGGCCCGCCCCGCCCCCCGCCGCCCGCCGCCCGCCGCCCGCCCGCCCGCCCGCCGCCAGCCCCGCCCAGGCGCCGCCGCCGCCCGCCCCCCGCCCGCCCGCCTGCCCGCCCGCCCCCGCACGCGCGCACGCACGCACGCACGCGCGCACGCGCGCACGCACGCACGCACGCACGCACGCACACACGCACACACGCACACACGCACACACGCACACACGCACACACGGGCCAGCTTTTCGATTCCTTCCTTGATCTGGAGCACGAACGTTAGGAATGACTCCAGACAATGCACCATGGAATCCGCCCAAGCAGAGAGAGGAATATCGTCGATGTGTATACTGCTAGCTGCATTGGGCGAGAGGGTTGAGGTGATCAGCGGGTGCATGTAGAGCTTGGCCTCGTACGTGGCTGGAGAGGCTTCTGCCGCGCTACCTTGCGTGGGGTATACCTGGTCTGAAATCGATCCTTCTAGCATCAGGCGTCTTGGCCATTCATATGTATGTAATGAATCTACCACTACATCTATGGGGTAGTTAGCCTGATGAGCATGATCATGGATGATGGCATGGTCGAGGGTCTCGTATAAAGACTTGAGATCCCATAGTAATGCTTTGTCGTGCGTTTTGCCTGATGCTGCAAGTTCTGCGCGAGCTGACTGCCTCCAAACTGTGTCCTCTGGGCTCCTAGCCTGGGATGCCGGAAGCTCTGGAGCCAGTCCTGAAGACGCTTCCCATGATCTGCATTTCCTGGACATGAGCTTCCCATGGATACGTTCGAAGCCAGGATTTTTTTATTTTAAAAAACAGACATCTCCTTCCTCCTCCTTTGTGCTTCGGCGCGAGAAGGATCTGAAGCTGCTGGATGGGCGGCGGGGCTGCTCCTATCATGTCCATGACTGTGAACAACCTGGCCATTATCTCAAATGCCTGTCCACTGCGTAACCTGAAATGTCTGGGATGGAATCCGTCTGGCATGCATGTGCGCATCTTGAACTTGCTCGAAATCTTTGCCAAGACTGCTGGATGGGTTGGAGGAGGCACTACATATGCTGGGCAATTCATGCTGTATTCTGGTCTTCGAGATGATCCTTGGCCCACCTTTCCTTCAGGCTTGGCTTTCCACTCCTCTGACCAGTTTTTCAAATGAGCGTCCAGCAAGTTTGGTAGCGACGAGGTGCAGCCTGATTCTAACAATACCTGCTCGACACTCCTCTCCTCCTTTCCTTTGACATATTTGTAAATAAGCCCATCTGCTACACTGTCACACCATTCTGCCCACTGCTGTCTCTGCACTGACTTGTCCTGGCCTATGTTGTCCTGGTGATGTTCAGCGAAGACGTTGGCAACGGTGGTGATGAAGTCTCTCTTTTGCTGCGAGGTTGGGCCCCATAGCTTGGGGGCGACACCTTTGAGGATGAAATGGTAATGTACTCCTGCGTCCCAATACTGCCTGAAAGGGGCCACCTGAATGGGGTGGGGGGGGGGTGGGTGAAGCTGGAAGACGAGCTTGTTGAGATATTCATCCATTAACTGGTGATCCTGGAGCTTAGTGTATCTTCTAGCTATTTCCTTTAGCCTATTTGCTGTCCAGGGGAGGGCTCGTTCTTTTTGCTGCTTCTTCTTGTGTTTGGTTTGGGGCATCTTTCTGAGGGGTATCTCCTGTGTCACCAACGGGGCTCCTGGCTATCTACCTTCTGGTGGTGTTTGGGTCTGCTGCTGGATTTCTAAGCGGATACGCTCCAACCGCTGATCGTAGACCTGACCCAACACTCCTTGGCCTCTTGCATGCTCGTCAGCTTCCCGTTTCGGCACGCCGACGATGTCGCCCCTGTCATTCGTGTGATCCTGGATGAAACTTTCCAGTGCTTCCTTCAGATGCGCATGCGAGGGAGGGCAAGGGGCTGGTCCAATGGCTGGGTCGGTGGGGTATCGCTGGTGCTTGCCAGGTATCTTTGCCAGGATCTCATCTATGTCGGTTCTGAGTACAAGCTTTACTGGGCGATGAGGAGAGGGGGGGGGGGGGTCCAAATCCACCGAGGCTGACTTGAGGGCCTGGGTCAGGATGCTGCTGCTCCAGAAATAATCGATCCTGGATTCTATGTCTCCGCTAACATACGTGGGTTCCAGTGGGGCCTTGATGGACATGCCTATTTTATCTAGGTCCGCATTCCCGATCATGTCGACTACGCTGATATTGAATCCCCACCGACTATGACTGGCAGGCCCGTGGAGTGGATGTCCTGCCCCAGCTTTCGGATGATGCTTAAGTTGATGTCGTCAAAACCTACTCTGTCCTTTAGGTATATGCTGTGCAGGCCTATGACTCCCAACTTCAGATGGCGGAGATAGCATTAGCATAGCCTGCCAGGTACTGGCAACTGCTGGGACTCATTGGGGATCCATGCATCCAAGTGAGCACGCACAAGTATGAGCACTCCTGACGACACTCCTCCATTCTTCGACGTGAATGCTGGGGCTCCGAATACTTTCCACCCTTTCTGCCTGAGGGAGGAGACGACGACCGAGTACCTGTGAGGTAAGAGCTTGTGCTCCTGAATAAGAAGCGCGTCGACTGTCGAATCTGCTAGCTGGGGCAATGTGTCTTCTGCTGTGCCCCGCGACGATACATTCAGCGTACGAATCTCGAAACTGCTGATCTGCTCACTTTGGGGCTGCCACTGCTGCTGCTGCCGCTGACGCTGATGCCGCTGCCTCTGCGATGGTTGCGGCACATGGGGCTGAGGGCGGGGGCGGAATCCCAGTTGGATTTTGCTTTTTCCCAGAGCTTCGACAAGCGCGTTGGACCCCTGCAAGGAGTTCTGGGGAAAGATTGAGAGCATTGGCCAGATTCTTGTCCCCTGGGTCCAACATGTCCGACGCCTTGTGTTTAACTCCTCCTGTGCCCTCCATCGGGGTTGGTTCTGGGACATTTGCCTGGTCAAACTTCTGGAGGAGCTGGTCACGGTCGGGATGATTGAGAATAACTTGCCCCCAAATTCCCAGCCGACTGGCGAGGGCCCCGACTGTGGACTGGAGCTCCTCCTTCTCTGGGTCCTCATACTCTTCCTCATCTTCGTCAAAGTCCTTCTCCTGATACTTCTGCCAAAATCCACCTTCCTCTGGTGAGTCTTCCTGCGCTGACGTGACAATCTCAATTTCCAATCGGTCGATCTCACTCTGCACATGTTCTTTCTCCTCAAGCACCTCTTTCTTCCTCTTCTGCACTGCCCCCAACAACTCAATCTCCTCCTGCTCCTTCTCCAATGCTGCCAGCTTTGCTTGCTGCTGACCAAGCTGCCGGTCCACGCGTAGCAGGCGCTTGGACTTAGGGAGGTCCTGTTCCTTGGAGCTGCGATAATCCTGCATGAGGGAGTCCAACTGGGGGATGAGGTGCTCAGGGATATCTGAACAATCCTTGGAGTGGGCATGCTGGACCAGGAGGTTGAGAAGGGTGGGCCCGTTGAGCTTAGGGCGGGGTGTGCCTCCTCCTCCTCCTCCTCCTCCTCCTCCTTTGCCTTTCCACACTCCCTTCGTGCCCCCACCACCTCCCCAATGCAGGTCGTAGGGTTGGGAGGGGTGGGTGAACTTGCCTTTGCCTTTGCCTTTGCCTTTTGTGGTACTGCCTTTGCCATTGCCTTTGGTCCTGGGTCCCTTTGTACCTTTCGGCCCACTCGAGAGGTCGGTGAAGCGGGAAGCCCATTTGCCCATTGGGGATATCTCCAGTGTAATAGCAGGCCCATGTAATAGACTTGCAGAGCAATGGTATCAGTAAGAATACCAGAACGGGTTCTTAGCATTCCCGCATTGGAGGCACTTGACTGTCGCATGGCTGGCACGGCTCATAACTTGCGGGGTACGCTTGGGGTTGTTGGACGGGGCCAACGTTCGCTTGGGAGTTGAAGGGCTCCCCACCCTGCAATGCCGAAATGCGTCCAGACGCCTCCTTGGTCCGCAAACGGCGATATCTTGAGCCAAAACGGCTTGAGCCAAAATGGCTACGGACCTCCTCCTCCTCCTCCTCCTCCTCCTCCTCCTCCTCCTCCTCCTCCCTCTCGGGGCGGCAAAGAGGGGGGGTCGTCCAGTCTGGTCCTCCGCGGGGCCGCCCCGCGAGTCGGCCTCGCGATCCGGGGCAGTCGACGTGGGGTGAAGATGCGCTTCGGTCGGGCATGTCCTCCTACAGGCGGATGTTGGACGACAGATAAGACATACACCCAACATATTCAACAATGATGAAGAATAGAAGAATTCGTCCCCAGACTGATTTTTTAAAGAACAGTTTTGAATACTTCTCCTGCAGAGGGGCATGCCCGAATTAAAGACACGTGTCGGGCATTGGCACAACTGGGTCTAGTGGGGCCTGGTTTAATGCTGCAAACTGGGGGGCCCCCCCTGCTCCCCGTTCCACTACTACCGTCTCACGAAAAAAACACCAGCTACAGCGGACCTGGTTCAGTGTGATTCTGGCCAGCTTGAGGGCTGAGGGGCCCTACTACTAACAGGGTCCCCTTACTTTGGGTCCTGGCTATACAGTCAACCCGTATAGTGAGGATGGGCGATAAGGATGCAAGGCCCTTGGAAGCCCATCTCGAAGCTTCCGAGCGGGGCGCGGCCAACGACAGTGGCCAAGGCTGCACCGAGGAGGCAAAGGATGCAAAGGGTACCCTTGGGAGTAGGTTGCCCCTCCTTCCTATGCGGGCCGACGGTGCCCGAACGTGCGCCGCTCGAGCGCCTCCTCGGGCACGCGGTTGAAGGGGCCCCAGGACACGCACACACAATCACACACAATCACACACAATCACACACAATCACACACAATCACACTCACACGCAATCACACACAATCACACACAATCACACACACAATCACACATACAATCACACACACAATCACACACACAATCACACACACAATCACACGCACAATCACACACACAATCACACACACAATCACACACACAATCACACGCACAATCACACACAATCACACACACAATCACACACAATCACACACAATCACACACACACAATCACACACACAATCACACGCACAATCACACACACAATCACACACACACAATCACACACAAACACACGCGCACAATCACACACACAATCACACACACACAATCACACACAATCACACACAATTCACACACACAATCACACACACAAATCATACACACAATCACCACACCAATACACACACACAATCACCACACAATCACCACACACACAATCACTCACACAATTACGTATGTATTTGTATCAACAACAAATTTCACACACACGCCACATCCACAACAATCAAACACACAATCACACACAACAATCACACACACACAATCACAGACACACAATCACACACACTCAATCACCACACACACAATCACACCACACAATCACACACACAATCACACACACAATCGCACACACAATCACACACACAATCCACACACAATCATACACCACATCACACACCACACAAATTCACACTCACAATCACAACACACAATCACACACACAATCACACACACAATCACACACAATCACACACAATCACACACATAATCACACACAATCACACACACAATCACACTCACACTCACACACACACAATCACACACACAATCACACACACACTCACACACACACACACACACACTCACACTCACACTCACACTCACACAGTGACACAGTGACACAGTGACACAGTGACACAGTGACACAGTGACACAGTGACTCAGTGACACAGTGACACAGTGTCAGCGAGACAGCGAGACAGAGAGACAGAGAGACACAGAGACACAGAGACACAGAGACACAGAGACACAGAGACACAGAGACACAGAGACACAGAGACACAGAGAC